AACTGTGTGGTGTGGCTTTTCGAGTGGTGGGATTATTGGTCCCTACTTTTTTCAAGAGTTAGATGATAACACCGTGTCGGTAAACGGGGAACGTTATAGAGACACATGTTGACGAGTTTTTTGTGGCCACCATTAGATGACATTCACTTGCAAAATCTCTGGTTCCAGCGGGATGGTGCAATATGCCACACCAGCCGTGAAGCAATCGATCTTTTACACACTAAGTTCGGTCGTCGCGTTATCAGCCGTTTGGGAGACGTTCATTGGCCAGCCCGCAGCTGTGATTACTTCCTATGGGGTACTGTTAAGGACCGCTGTTACACTAACGATCCTCAAACAATAATTGATGTTCTTAAGGAAAATATCCGTCCAGCTATTGATGAAATAGACCCACAAACTATCGATAACGAGCTTAAAAATTGGGTTAAGATGATGGACTACTGCCAGGCCTGCCGCGGTAGCCATTTAACTGGAATTGTTTTTCAAAAATAATCGAAAGGTGTATTCTTTTGAATAAAGTATCGAGTGTTACATATTATTAAAGAGCGTAGTTTTAATACCAATTTAAAAAAGAAACCAACGGATGGTCCACCCTTTACCAGGAGTCACAAATGGGGGTGAGACATTTTCGTTGGGCCTTGCACACTCACCACCACCCAATTGCCATCTAACTTTCTTGGGAAAACAATCTAACTTCTATTAGCGCGGAAAGTATGTTGCTATCCCTTAAGCACCTGTGACCCTCGTTCAAGGGTGTCCCACCCTCCTACATCCAGACTTCCGCTCAATTCCCATCACCCTTCCCCCTCTCCATTCCATTTCAGCATCAATTAGATAACAGGGAGTTGAGAAGCTGCTTTGTCGTCCGTGATTACGGGAACGAACATAGTTTATCTATGGAGTTGCTAGATAGTTCCGACGGAGTTGTTGTAGTTGTGCGTTTTGCAGCAAAACTCTGTTCCTGAAATTATGCTGTGTATTTGACAGTTCTAACTCCAATAATATGCGGTTGATCACTTTTGGAAGTATAACAAACTGGTCAATATGAAATTGTAGTTAGAATATATCATAATTCAACTGATGTGAAAAGGTTGACCATATTTGATGGTCTAAAAACCTACAAGGGTGGACAGTTTAGGAGTTGCAGTTCATATGTGGCAATCGTCAGATTTTCGCCTACTTGCACACAGAACTTTGTTTCTCAAACTATGCTGTGTAACTCCGCTCTGTATGGAGAGACAGTACATGTTCGACTGTTAATCAACATTTTTTCAGACTGCCGTACCTACCCTTAAAAATAGTTGGTTCTAATAAGACATTTGACGGTATGGAACAATCATTGAACTACTTTTATTACTAGTATATGCATACTGCACACAAATGATCGAATCGACATCTTGCACATGAAAAATAAAAGTGTTTCTGGAAAAGGTTAAATGCGAAAAGCACAGTTTGCCGTATATGATTCTGTCGACAAAGCATAAGAGTTCCTCAATGATCGAAAGTTTCCGTAAAGTTATTGTCTACCGATTTGAAACTTCGTTACGTTCTCCAGCGCTTTCCACCACGTATAACTCTCTTTTCCCACACTTTAAAAAAATACGTTTTCAAACAAAAAGAAGAATGTCCCGATTCCAATTTCGTAATGCAGTAATGATTTGTTGACATTACTTTCTGTAGTTAATGGTATAGTAACTGATTCTGATGTAGAAAAAAAGCTAAAACCATGTGCATACTTCTCACGATTGTACAATCTAAAATTAGCTTTTTATTTTCATATTTTATTCATTAGCATATCGGGTGATTCAAAAAATTGCGACGCAATCACTTTATGGGCGGGGAAGTCTTCAAATGGCGAAATTTTTTGAAAATGGGATACTAGGTTCTTTCAATTTCATTTGACAAGTAAGTATGCTATTCTAGAGCATCCTGTATATGTAACTAAACTTTGAGAGTAGCCAGATTTAGATAGATCTGAATATATATATATATATATATATATATATATATATATATATATATATATATATATATCCGCAAAGTTGGGGTTTTCCTTTTCAGAAACAACTACCCTTGAAATAACAAAGGTAATGTGTAGTGAAACGAGGGCGACCAAGTAAAAAAAAATAAAGGAAAAAGTACTCACTCTCCAGTTGACGAGAAGGGCTAAGTACGTCTCAGCCTGAAATCGAAAGTTATTCACCCCATTACGCGTGAACGTAGATTCGTCTGTCACAAATATGCACCTCAAAAAGTCCGGATTATTGTCATGTTGATGCAACAACCACTCACAAAACCGCACTCTTGCTGGAAAATCGTCAGGTTGAAGGGCTTGTACACGTCGGACGTTTACCACACTTTAGTTTTTGATACTTGCACTTCTCTAGCCACGTCTCTAGTGCTTGTTGAGGGATTCCCGTCTACGCGATTCAGTAGTTCTTCCTCAACTTTCACCATTCGTGGTTGTCTAGGCCTCCCACTGTGCCCACCTCGAAATTCCTCCAAATGGCCCGTATCCCTGACTCTCTGGACCAGGTACACAAATCTGCGGGGCCTTGGATGATGTCGTCTAGGTAAACGATCTGCATACACTCGCGACGATTCTGTAGCATTTTGAAGACATTCGCCATAAATTAACAACATATCAACGAGTTCATTATTGGTGTATGAGTGTGCCATTATTATTTTTTTTTTTTTTTGAAACGCAATCGATTATACGGGTTCGTTACCTCTATACGCGTGACCCTTTACCGTCGGTTGAAGGTTGCATACTGACCTGACACACTGACCCCGACCCAGTTCTGTCGTCGGGTTCAGCTAGTAGCCGGTACCAGTCTGGGATATCGCGGCGGGTCGCGGCTACAGGACGGTATTCAGATATTTTTGATGTTGCAGAGCCCTTTATCTCGGTTCCCTTAAGACATTGGTGTATATGGTACTAACAAAAATTGCTTATGTTTTCAAGATCTACGCGTCGTGTAAAGGAAAACCCCAACTTTGCGGACACCCTGTATATATATATATATATATATATATATATATATATAGTATTCATAGTTAATTGCCTTCTTTATATATAAGTTATGATGCAGAAAAGGATGCACGTGGAAGAAGAAAATGCTGAGGAAAGCATCCTTACCGAGATGATAAATAGAGGATTCGATTCATTCTATTCATTCATTCAACATTACTCGTTTTGTTCGCTGTATTGTACATCTATCCATTATAAAATAATTCAAGTATATTGTATTGTCTTGTAAAAGTAAAAATAAAGTTTTTTAAAAACCCGAACGGCCATCCCGGCACATAACTGGCGCAGTCATCCAGTAGGATAAAACGCAGTTTTCCGAAAATTCGCGGTATCGTGACCGGTTTCGTGAAAACGTGGGTATCGTCCCTTCGGCGTTCGACCTACAGAAACGAACGAGAATCCACAGCCCAAGAGCGAGAACTTGGCCCCTTGCTTCTGCCTGCCGCCTTCCAAGAAGATAGGAGTAGAAGGTAAGAGCCAAAATTCCTTTTCGCCCCATTCAAATTGATTTCCCTGTATAGGAGATCTTATTTGAAAAGTTGTGATTTTATGTCATTATCAGACATTATCAACGAGTTAAATAACTTAAGAATTAATAATACTGATTCAGAATCAGAATCTGAAGAAATGACATTCCCAGAAAATAGCTTACAAATGTTACGCATGTTTGTAGATACAATACCAAATTTTGATGGTAATTTCAATACACTACCAAGCTTCATTTCATCATGTGATTATCTATTCGACACATTCAACACTTCTGAAGAAACCATTAAGAGATACTTATTGAGAGTGGTACAGACTAAATTAGTTGGTAGGGCTCAACTTTTAGTTGGCTGTAGAACAGAATTAAATAGCTGGTCTTTAATAAAAAATGCTTTAGAGCAGTGTTTTGGTGATAATAGAAGTTTAGAATGCTTGGAACAAGATCTATTTCTGGCCTCACCAAATAGAAATGAGTCACCCTTAGATTTTGGAAAAAGACTTCAAATTTTAAGGAGTACTCTTGCACAGAAATTGAGTATTTCAGACTCAACGCCCGAAGTAAAAGTCGCAATGATGAAGCAGTACGACGGTATCTGTTTAAGAGCTTTTGTGCGCGGATTATCAGGACCTTTACAAACGGTTATTCGTTTGAAAAATCCTTCATCTCTAGAAGAAGCGATGGCATATATTATTGAGGAAGAAAATTTCCAGTATACGCAAAACATTTTCAAATTCCCAAATCACTCAAAGACTCCAGGTAGTAACACACAAAATTCATATTCCAAACCACAGACAAAGTTTGGACATTCAAATAACAATTACCGTAATCAGGCACCAAATCAGAATTTTCATTATCAAAAATTTCAAGCTCCTCATCAGTCGAATTTTCAACAAAGTTATCGACCTCCACAAACTTTTCCAGCTGACAGAAACCGGAATAATTTCCCAAGTCAGCCGATAAACATCCAAAGTCGAAATAATAATTTTCAAAAACGCTATCCAACAAATCAAGAAGTTTTCGGACCACCCAGAAACACGAACGTCTTCAAGCCCAGGGGAACAGTACCGCATAATTCCCCACAGCCTATGTCAGTTTCAACCACAAATACTTATAAACCGAACTATCCCCAAAGGCAAAATCATTTCCAGCCCTCGGGACCCAGAAATTTCATTGCGGAAGAACTATATCAAATAGATGACACTCAAAACGACGAAAGATACGAAACCGAACAACCCGAAAGAACCAGAAATCCAAAACCATTTTCAAAAACTCAAAATGTTGAAGCTCAACATGCTTCTGTCTCTTCGTCCACAAATTATGAATCAGATCCAAATTTTTATTACAAGGGCCAAGGCACCCACAAAACATAATCGAAATCCATTCCGATCTTGACAACTCTTTACCCTACATCAAAATTCAAAATCCACCCTTAAAGTTACTCATTGACACAGGATGTTCACATTCGATGATACGCCCTAGAATAGTCGAAAAATACTTTCCAGAACGTATTTACCATTCAGTTTCAAGATTAAAGACAGGCGTAGGAGAAAAAGAAGTTCATTTTTTGACGGCATATTAGGATTAAAACAATTACTACGTTTAAATCTCAACATAGACCTTACTAATCGACATTTAATTAGTGAGTCATTGCGTATTCCCATATTTTTCCGTGAACTTGACACTGAACCATATAGCATAACGATAAATGCACACGAGGTAGCTCTTATCAAAGTTCCTGTGAGCATTAACAATAGCCCCGTTATAATCCCTGAAGGTGAAATAAATGGCTTATATTTCCCTGAGACCTTGACTATTTCGAATGAATGGTTTGCTTATACAGAAGTTTATAACCATTCAGATGAACAAATAACGATAGATTTTTCAAATCCGTTGGACGTAATTGAATATTCTAAGGAAGTTAGTGATAACTTTTATATTTTTCATATTGAGGATATTATTGGTGAACTAAAACATAGTGACGAAAGCATACAGAAAGTATCGAAATTAATTAGGACTGATCATTTGAACAGTGAGGAAAAACAGACTTTATTAAAAGTTTGCCATGAGTTTAGGGATATATTTTACAATGAAAACGAAAAGCTAACGTTCACTAATATTATTAAACATGAAATAAAAACTACTGATGAAATTCCAGTACATACAAAAAAGTATCGTTATCCCTTTGTTCATAAAGAGGAAGTTCAAAGACAGATAAATAAAATGTTAGTGGGAAACAAAAATGGAGAATAGTAACAGATTTTCGAAAGCTGAACGAAAAAACAATAAGTGATCGATATCCATTACCTAATATTAACGATATATTGGACAAGTTAGGTAGATGTCAATACTTCAGTACCTTAGATTTAGCTTCCGGATTTCATCAAATAGAGATGCATCCAAACTCTATCGAAAAAAACCGCTTTTAGTGTAGAACATGGACATTACGAGTATACCCGCTTACCATATGGTTTGAAAAATGCCCCAAGTACATTTCAGAGAGTAGTTGACAATGTTTTACAAGGATTACAAGGCAAAGTTTGTTTAGTATACATGGACGATATTATAATTTTTTCCACTAGTCTTGAAGAACATATTGCAAATTTAAAATTAGTATTTCGGAGACTAAGGGACACACAATTGAAAATTCAACCAGACAAATGTGAATTTTTATGCAAAGAAGTTGAATATTTAGGACACGTAGTTACTTGTGATGGTGTAAAACCGAATCCCAAAAAGATACAAGCAATAACACAATTCCCAATTCCAAAAACAGTCAAAGAAATCAAATCGTTCCTAGGTCTTTTAGGTTATTATAGAGGCTAATGGGGCAATGTCCTAGTGCAAAAAAAAAAAAAAAAAAAAAAAAAAAAAAAAAAAAAGGTTATTATAGACGCTTTATCGAAAATTTTGCCAAATTAACAAAACCACTTACGAAATTTCTTAAGAAAGGATCAAAAATTGAACATAATGCAGAATTTATCAAAGCTTTTGAAACTTGCAAAAATATTCTAACCAACGAACCTATTTTACAATACCCAGATTTTGAAAAGTCTTTTATTTTGACTACTGATGCCTCAAATTACGCAATAGGTTGTATTCTTAGCCAAGGAAAAGTAGGACAGGATCGACCGATTGCCTATGCATCACGAACTCTAAATCCAGCAGAATGTAATTATAGCACAATAGAAAAAGAATTATTAGCAGTAGTATATGGTGTGAAATACTTCAAACCATATCTATGGGGACGTGAGTTTACCATAGTTAGCGACCACAAACCCCTCGAATATTTGTTTAACATGAAAGAACATAACCCCAGACTTTTACGTTGGAAACTGTTTCTTGAACAGTTCAATTACAAAATTCAATATAAACCTGGAAAAATAAATAGCAATGTTGATGCTTTATCTCGCGTAGAACTTAACGCCATCCAATATGAAACGGATCAATCAATAATTGCAAATCTTGGAGATTCCGAAGATATCCTTCAGTTTCTACAAGACGATGATAACCCCGAAATAAATATTGAAGACTTACAAGAACTAGAGGAATTTCTCATCCCTGAAGTTCCTGATAACTCTAACAAAATACAAATAATTTCAGATATCCAAATTGTACCCCCTCAGCCAAGTGATGACAGTATTACAGTCCATACAGCAGTAGAAAACCCCATATTAGAGATACCCTTCACTGAATATGTTACTAACAAATTTTCTAATCAGATAATTATAGAACAGAAATCATCCTATCGATATCATATTGTAAGGACTAAGCCCTTCGAAAATGTTAATAAAGCTACAGCTTAGCGATAACATAGAGGAAGAAATCATAAAGTTTTTCAAAGACTATGTTGATCCAAACAAAGTATATTGTATTTTTGTCAAAGGTTCAGAAATTGAAGATTTAAATATCCAGATTAGCAAAATACTACCATTGTATTCCAAAAACCACGCATATAAACTTTATTTTTCCAATCAGCTTGTTAGAGATATTTCAGACAAAGACAGACAAAAAGAATTAATCTCTCATCATCATGAAACAAAGACTTGTCACAGAGGAATTAACGAAACGTTACTTTCCCTTAAAAAACTATACTACTGGAAGAATATGCAAAAAATGGTAACAGAATACATAAATAATTGTGAGTTATGTCAAGTAGCAAAGTATGACAGACATCCACCAAAAATAAAATTTTCACTTACACCAACGCCAAAGCAACCCCTAGAAGTCTTACATATGGACACTTTCCAATTTTCTAACACAAAATTTCTTACTGTTATTGATTCATTTTCAAAATATGCACAAGCCTATCATTTAGATCCAGTTTGTACAGCCACAACAGTGTAATGAAAATATTTTGATATTTGTGAATCATCACGGCATTCCTCAATCAGTTACTACTGATAACGGAAGAGAATTCAATAATTCCTTATTTACTGAATTTTGTAAATTACACAAAATCCAGCTTCACTTTACTACACCATGTAATTCGAATAGCAACAGTCCCATAGAACGATTACATTCAACCCTGCTAGAACTCTTAAGAATTCTAAAAATTAAATTTCCAAAATTATGTCCAAAAGCACTAATGCAAAATGCAATTTTGGCATATAACACGTCAATTCACAGTGTTACAAAACAACGACCATTCGACCTTATAAATGGCCGCTTAGATGTCCTAGATCCATTTGACCTATCAGATGAGATCATTGTTAGCCAATTCATTGATGATAGACGTGAAATACTAAAATTCATTTACAACAATATACACCAAGCAACAGACGCTCATAAAAAGAATATTATAGAAAAGCGTAATAAAACTAGAGTAGATCCATCCAAATTCCCCCAAGGTTCGAAAGCATATGTCAAAGATAAAACCGCTTCTTGGAGTAAATTAAAACCAGGATTCACAAAAACTGAAGTTAAGAAAGATTTAGGTACAAAAGTACGGACTATCAATAAACGCAAAGGTTTAGTACACAAATCTCAAATTCAAAAACCTAAAGCTTATTCTTCTTTTCCGCAGGATCATGAATCTGGAAATCAAGAAGGTTCCGATAGTCATTCGATCCCTTCTACTAGTCGCGACAACCAAAGCCAACAATGACGCAGTTGTCACACCCTTAAAAGCCCCGCTTTTCCCTTATTCGCTAGGTAACGCTAGTATTATAGAATCGTATCATACTTTTATTCACTTTGTAGAAACTACTTCATTAACAAGGCAGATTACGAATATCCAAAATTATTACGAAAAACTCCAAAATACTCTCAAGCCTTTAAATGCTGATCATTCAGACTTGCACTTTGGATTATCAAATCTCCTTAAGCATACGAAATTTCTGATACAAGAAGCTACAAGAAAATTAGATAACATTGTTCCACGTATTCGTCAGAAACGAGGATTGATTAATCTCGTAGGAAAAACTTCAAAGTTTCTTTTTGGTACAATGGACTCAGATGACGAAATCAAAATTAATAATGCACTTCATGAATTACAAAAGAACGCAAATTCTGTGCATAGTCAACCTCACTAACTAAAGAATTGATAGATAATTACAATTCTACAATTTCATTATTAAGCTCTAATCAGGTACAGATCAAAACGAAATTGTATCATCTGCAAAATGCGATGAATGGAACTGTAGGAAGCTTGACAGCTTATCTTCACGCTGAAAATATTTTACAGCAACTTAATCTAAATTGTCAAAATTTGATTACATTTTTGGACAATTTGGAGGACGCTATAATGTTTTCAAAATTGAACACTTTACATAGTTCTATCATATCAGTTTCAGACTTAGAGAAAAACATAAAGTATTTAGTAAAATTATATGGTAAAAAGAAAGTACCAAACTTTCAAAATTTACAATCATACTATTTAGTAGCTGATCCACAAATTACATTTACTGATAATAAAATCTTGTTTTCTATAAGATTTCCTATATTATCTGATGAAAAATTCCAATTTTTCCGTCTATACCCAGTTCCAATTAGAAATTCAACCATTATTCCAACCCATCCCTTTTTGGCTCTTGGAACAAGTCATCAACAATTTGAAGAAGAAGAATGTCCAGAAATTGAAAACGTCTACTTCTGCAAGAATCGACAAGAACCCATTCAGGTTGTCTAAACGAGTTACTGAAGAAAGCAGAATTTTCAAAATGCCAATTCACAAGGTTACAAGTATCCAGTTCTATTGTTGAAGCAATATCAGCAAAACACATTTTGGTCATACCCGCTGATCAGCCGATCACAGCAGTCAAGTTGTGTGGTACTCAACAACCACTTATTTTAGAAACGCCAAGTTTAGTCGAAATACCCGAAAATTGTGGAATACAAATCAACTCATCCAAGTTTTGGAACAAAGAGGATCAAGTCAAAGGAAACCCTTTGGTCCTTCCAGAAATAAAGTTTTGGAATGCAAGATCGAACTTTGTATCCAAGAAAGCTTTAATCCTCAAGACTATTGACCTCAGCAAGATTAAGGAAATGCAAGAGAAAGCAAATTTTCTTCAAATGCAAGAAGAAGCCGCTATTGATCCCTTAATTTGGTTTTCTAGCAGCTCAGTTTTTACTATTTTTCTGCTTGTTACAGTAGCAGTAATCTTTTGGTATATTTGGAAAAAACAAATCCAGAAGAAAAATGACCTACCCCAAGACAAGAAAGATGAAGAAAATCCCGAATCCAGTGAAGAAAGGCCCAAGAAAAATGCAACAAGAACAAAACCTACTGAAAACAGAAAACGTTCCTATTCAGTTTTCAGACTAGGTGGGGAGGAGTTA